TTGTTCCAGTACATACCTAATATTTTGGTTACTATATTTTCTGGTACTGTAGTACTATCATTTTGAATGCTTTAGAATGCTCTAAACTAGTCGGTAATATACTAGGTTCGTTTCTAGCTCACTTACTCAATTCAAAAGCCGCTTCACTTAAAACGGTAATTAGATCGTCGCGCAGCTGACATACTTCTCTCTTCGTGTTCGCTCCTCCCAAAAATCAACATAAAAATCTTGACATATCGACTGACAGACTTCAGGATATTGTTCTTTCTGCGGTCAACTTCTCCAAACAAGCTACCACTAAGTACGAAGAGGTTATCACTCCATAGGTAATAGTCTTGAGGCAAAAAATATTAATAGGCTTGCTTGGATCTTCTCGCCATAATATTCTCTGAAAATCACGCTGCGATTCCGATATCCACACTTGCCGGTACATTTTTTTTATATCCGCCGTCAGGACATATCTATGAGTACGGAATCTAGCCATTATAGTAACTAACTCTTCCTGAATGCAAGGACCTTTCAGCAGTACCTCGTTTAAACTCACCCCTGTGTCTGTTTTCACAGATGCGTCGAACACCACTCGCAACCGCGTACTCGTACTGTGCTCATTAATTACCGCATGGTGAGGCATATAATAACAACGCTCTTCTTCTATCGACGATCGCGCTTTTTCTGCATGCCCTAGCATGATATATTCATCAATAAATTTGTTGTATGACGCTTTAAGCTGAGGGTCAGCCTGAAGTCGCCTTTCTAAAGATAAAAATTGACGCAAGGCCATGTGATATGATTTACCCAGCATAGATGGGTCTTTGAATGGTAGTACAACTGTAAATCTGCCATCCGTTGAGCAACGAACATTTAATTTATAATGTTTCATACACATTGTCTCCTCTAATGTATAAGGAGCTTTAGCATTAACCTCCTCCAGTCTCCAAAACTGTGCCATTTGGTCTTCAAGCTCACTAATTTTTGCCAGTTCGGTTGTCGTTACCGCCGACATACAGCACTCTTGCCTGTCTAATGCAGTTGCTGGAACCGGACCAGCGATCACCCATCCGAGATGCGTGTTTTGTAACACCGGGCCGTTATCCATTGGTTTAATTTGACCATGCTTAATCAAATCAAAGAATATTTCGGCGCCCAAAATTAAATCGATGCAATTTGGATTATTAAATGACGGATCATCCAGTATTGTTTCTTTTGGTATATTTAATAAAGCAGTGCTGATTGGTCTAGCTGGCAAATTATTTGTTAATTTTGGTAAAATAAAAAAAATCCAATAAGAGTGAATATTTAGATACACGTGATTCCACAGTAGC